GCCATAAAAGCAAACAGTTCCAAACAACAACCTCTTCGAACCACTATCAGGTGGTGGCAGCAACCTTTCGTGATCTCCTGTGTGTGGTACCTGCGTGCTGGATTTGCACTGTACTTGGCTTGCCATGTCCAATTCATGGGACTACACAAATAGCAGGTTGGCAAGCAGGGGAACCCGCGATCATTGCAGCAACGCCAACAGCCCGTCATGGTTTCAAATTCATGTTGGTCCTTTTTATCTGGAACCTGTGTGCTGAAAGCTGTTCCAAGTATAGCCATAAGTAGGGTTTGTAACATTTCAGGCAAAGAATGAAAGGCTGTAAGGCCCCCATTGTGCAATATTAGCAGGACACACACGCACGTCATACATAAATGATGATAAAGGGTATATAATTTGGTGGTTGATCTAAAGTTCCTTGTAAAGAATAATAATTGCGAAGACCGGCCATGTTGCATTTCGCAATCGGGAAAGTCACATTTTATGTTGCGAAAGTTTCGCCAAAGTTAGGTATTCTGATTCACCACTGTATACATGTATGACTTATACGCATATTTGCGCGAAAGCTCTGCAAAAGTTACGCGAAAGAGAAGGGGGTGGCCCAGTAAGCCTTACACATGCAATCAAATATTGACCCCATATGCAACAACCTGTCCTGAGGGGATTCTGTGATGCTAGCCGCATGTTTACGCGGCTACCATGAAGTAACCTATATATGATTATTTGGTAAGCAGTGCCTGTCTCTTCACAAGGGGCATTGTTGCCCCACATGGGTCCCGCGAAAGGCCAACCTGGAGTTTGCGAAAGTACAATTCTACTTCGCGAAGAATAGCCGTTTCCGGATGAGGATTTTAGATGAATCCAGATACATGTATTGGGGCTATGTTGGTATGTCAACAGCATTATCGATTCTTAACTTGTCGCACCTACCTTTCTGTTTGGGCTTTCAAAGAATAAGAAGATTCCATCCAAGTATAAATGCAACTGAGATTTGCTTTACCTCCAATGCAGAACCATGCTGGAAATCCTTTTCGAGCATCTTAAGCTGGGTGCATGCATCCCTCGCTATGGTTTCATATCGCTTATTTCCAATATATTGAGCACTTCTGGTTTTGGGGCCACTTGTGTTCTTACATGAAAATCAAACGCATTAAATAGTATCCATACGATGGGTCGAGTGACTTTCTAGATAACGTGTATCTAATTTTTGATATTTTTTGTTTTAAACAAAAAAAATTACTTTACTTCGTGTGATCCCCACCATGACATTTATACATTTTCTTACTGGCAAATCTTCTGGCATTCTATCTGACATATCTTCTGACATTCTATCTGGCATTCTATCTGGCATATCTTCTGGCATATGATCTGGCATATCTTCTGGCATATCTTCTGGCATTCTATCTGGCAAATCTTCTGGCATTCTATCTGGCATATCTTCTGGACATATCTGGCATTATCTGGACATATCTTCTGGCATTCATATCTGGCTATCTTCTGGCATTCTATCTGGCATATCTTCTGGCATTCTATCTGACATATCTTCTGGCATCTGACATATCTTCTGGCATCTGGCTATCTATATTCTGCATATCTATCTGGCATATCTTCTGGCATATTTTCTGGCATTCTATATCTGGCTTCTATCTGGCATTCTATCTGGCATATCTTCTGGTATATCTTCTGACATTCTTTCTGACATTCTTTTCTAACTTTCTTCTGCACATTCTTTGTCCCATATCTTCCTACATGAGGTCCGGCAGGGAACACTGGGCGTGGATACTCGCGGTTGAGGTCCGGCAGGGAACACTGGGCGGTGATGGTCGTGGTTGAGGTCCGGCAGGGCACACTGGGCGTGGATGGTCGTGGTTGAGGTCCGGCAGGGAGCAGGAGGAGAGGAGACGAGGAGAGGAGATGAGGAGAGGAGGAGGAGAAGGAGGAGGAGGAGCAAGCAACTGACATAAAATCTAACAACCCTCACCTGGCAGGTGGGGAAAAACACAGTACTATGTGGCGGTTCATCTAAATTCCTTTATCTGCAAACGGCCATTTTTTGCGAAAAAAAATCTTTCGCGAATCTTCCGCGGAACCCATGTTGAGCAACAGCCCCTCCTATGAAGATTTATTCATCGCTTGCCAAATCACACCAAATTATCACGGATAATTTCTTCATAGCCTTTTAAACGTGTTGCTAGCATCACGGAATCCCTTCTCGAACAGGTTGTTGCTGATTAGGCATTTTTTTTGCAAGCCTTACTGGGCCACTGCCTTCAAAATGCACTTTGGCTTTCACCCACTCTTTCGCGAAACTTTCGCGAAAATACCCCTATCCGCAGACCCCAGCCATCAGCAGGGTGCTCATGAGAGGAAAAGCAAACACCAGGGGCCTTGGTGTTTGGCTCTCGCAAAGCCTCGCTTTGGGAAGCTTGGCTGCTGCATTTGGAGCTTGTTTCTGAAGTCGAAAGCAACGTTAGGCAGTACCAGCGACAGGTGCAAGCATGTGCTTCAAGACCATGGTATTTGGCTGCTTGGCTGCTACCTAGCGGTACCATTCTCCTGCCGGACCCCCGGGCGGCAGGAGGTGGTAGCCCTTAACAAGCTGTAATGTATACAATGATAATGATTCATAATATCCGACTTTCGCGAAAATTTCGCGAATATGAATGAAAAGATTCTTTTGCGAACTCGCAAAAAACTTTTGCGAAGGCTCCCAGCATAACATGAACGGTCTTCGCAATTAAAACTCTTTACAAGGACCTTTAGATCGATCACCATGTGTATCAATGTCCCTTGTATCTAAAAGCCGGATTCTTGTGTGCTGGCATCCGGCTTGCCTCAGTATAGAAAAAGCGAAACACATGCTACAATTATATACAAGAAGTAGATTGTTGTACTGTTTCTAGCTGAGCAGCCGTAACATGCCCTACCATTTTGACTGTGGAAAATATCCTTAAAACTATTCTTCGTATTTCCTTGCGCTCTGCTTATTTTATTCATGTCACCAAACATGCTTGAACGCCATGCTGCGAGCCAATTTAAGGCACAGGCAAATGTTTCCAAACGCTTTGATTGCTGTTGGGGATCTCCTGTAAGCTTATCATTTTTATCTCGGTGTCTGCTCGTTGCCGATGGTAAATTATTCATCCATGCGCTGGCTTATCCCACGTTTTTGTATTTATTTGCTGGTTCCCAACAGCAATGCTTGTTGGGTTCCAATCTCTCGGTCTGGTACGTCACGAATGCAAAGCACCCACAACTGGAATGGAACCCTGGAATCCTGGAACCTGAAACCCTGAAATTACAGCTGTCGGGTTGGAAAGTTGCGTTGCAAAGTTGGATGATTTTTTCATTCTTTCTTGGCTTTTCTTGACCTCTATACCTTCTTTACCAAGTATCTGTTTCTATCACTCTGTCTCATAGCCTTAAACTCTCTGCCGGCTAGACTAGACCCACAGACCCTCACCTGACTTGAGGGTCTCGTTGCACATCGCGTAAGCCTGCAGCGAACATAGTGCACAAGCATTCTTCAATACCATGAAGAAAGCTCCAGAACTGAAGAAAACTTTTCCAAGATTCTGCAGAACTATGTGTGTCCTTCAGCAACCAATCAGAATATATCAGAATGGCTTTTTGCAGTGTGCAGGGTGGAGAAAAGGAAATGAGTCTGCTGGCAACCGCAGGAAAACAGCAAACATGGGAGCTCTGCGATGGCCGCCCTGTAAATGCTGGTCGCAGGACTGCGCTATTGCCTTGGTCTTGGAATTGCTGCTTGTGCCACCCGCTTTGTAAACAGGTACATATTCCGAAAATGTTCGGCGTCATTTTTGACAATGTGCAGAATCTGAGCAAGCCGCAAATCAGCGCAAGAAAAAATAAACAACGATGAATGCCTGACACGTCCAAATGGGATGGGATTCTCCTCACTTGAAGGGATGAATCAGTCAACATGCTGTGAGAATCTTATCCGCGCGCCTTTATGTGAATGAATTGAATTAAAAAAGGAAGCTTTGTGCGAGACCAAGTCTTTATTCCCATCTAGCATTGTAACACAATTTAATTTATCAAAGGACATGACATGACATTTTTTTTGCTCAAATGGTCAGCACATACAGCTACTGGAAGCCTGCGTTCACACGCCGGCGCATGCCTCTCGAGCCTAAGAAAGCACACGGGCTAAGCCACTAAGCTTGGTACTGACAAGGGCTGAGTGTGGACCCGGAGGCAAGTAATGGCAACAAAATTCTTGCAACAACATAAAACACCCGCAGTCATACAGCACAAATCAGCACAACATTTAGTGAAGGTGCAATACACAAATCGCCAAAGAGCTTGCAGAGTGACCAAAACGTAGTTCCCGAAGCTGTAAGGTCGCACGCTCAGTAGGCTGTTCCTCATCAATGAGCAAAATAAAGAAAATGTCCGACACACCTAGCTTTCGTTGCAACCCCTGTCCATCTGACACTAACATCTTTTGTCTGCAGCCTGTAAAGATCATACCAAAGGGAAAGTATTGGACCGTACAGTAGTGAGGCGAAGGATGAATGTTGGTAGCCTTTGAAACCGTAGCTGTTTTTGCACAGTCCAAGACATCTCCACTGACAGAATGGCCAAGGTTCAGTCAAGCCTCCGTTCAACTCTTGCATTGCAGTCTGTGGCTGCTTGAGCCGGAAGAAGTTGAAGACACAAAAACAAATACGAATGAAAATTCCAAGTACATTGAATTGACAATTCCAAGTACATTGAATTGACAAATCAAAGTACATTGAATTGTGAGATGGAACCTCCTGTGATGGTGGGGCAGTCAGCACGTGCGAGAGAGTTTTCCTTTTTTTGGCTCATAGGAATACCAAGGTTGCCGTTGTCAATTTATTTGTTGGTTTGCAGAAAATTGTGTAATGCCTGATAGAGGCCTGGAGAACATGCGACAAGCATGTTCACAGCAAGGAAAAACTCTTCTGGCTGAGCAGCGCAGCTGTTTTGATCGCAGATTTTTCTCGGTCAATTCATTTGGGCTCGGGGGTGCGACCCCCGACAATCTTCTGCTTTGCAGGCCAGAAGCCAACTCCAGGGGCAGTTGGATTGTAAATCACCTTCAGGCAACGCCCAGGAAATTCGAAGCCAAGGAAATGCAAAGGCAAAATAGTTGCAACTCACACGTGCAAATTTGTTTCATGCCAACCTGCTTTCCTTCTACCCGTTCTTGCCGGACACCGTAAGGCCAAGCTGTAGATATTTGTTGTGGACTGGGCTTTGGCCTGCGGTGCAAGGCGGTGCAAAGGAACCTGCTGGAAAGACCTACGCTGACGACGATGAAATGTCACGTCTCTAGCCATGGTCGATGGGAGATCTCCCCCTGCAAGCAGCATCCCTGGCCCCTACCTACAGTTACTGGATGTTACTGGCATATTCTGACAACTCGCCTACCATGGCTTTCTGGCACAGGCTCCAATGGATGACCTTGAAGACTGGCTGACTGGGCTCAATTCTATAAAGCCGTCAGCACAGCTTGAAACATGTTTAGAAGTGCGACCACTCGCTTCATCCTTGAGACATAGACAGAGATCAAAAGCACTCAAAAGCGATGAAACAATGAAGGGGAAGGTGTGTAGAAGCAGATCCATGAGACTGGTAACGAACGTTGCGAACAACTTGACTGCAAATTGAAAAAGGCTGGAACCCTCCGTTGCAAAGAAATGCTGGGTGATGAACAAAGACAAAGTGTGTAACAAGAGTTACGCTGCACCACCTGTACATCTACTGTGCCGCACGGCAAACAAGCACTGCCTAAAGGCAGCTGCTAGCGGTGCGTGATCCCTTCGCTGCATCGACTAGTTCTCAGCCTTGAAAGGCGGAAGCTAAGGGACGTGTCCAGCGGATTCGGCGCTGCGTTCCAGGCTCTCGAACTTCACGAGGCCTGTGCTTTGCCCGATACAACCTCAGCTTGACCCAGCCTGGTGATCAACGGACCCTAATCACATTTACAACCTGGTGAAAAATGCACACTCTGAATGTTTCAGCATGCGTCGCAGGAGTCATCACTATCAACGTGAAACGAGCTGTTACGGAAACCAGGGTTGCCAGCAAGCTGCCGCTGCCGAATCAAGAATCTTGCCTGACACGCAGGGGGCTGCCGGGCAGACGTAGGTGTGCAAACATCACACAAAATCATGAAAAACACTTGTGGATTATCTGGCATGAAGAATTGAGGACATGTCTAAACCATGCTTGAAGTGTGCAGCATGTCTTTGGACTTGAATGTAGCGCTGGACCTGATGCACTTGTTTTAGCTCTTCGCAGGAGCAAAGCGAAAAGGATAACAACAATAAATCTGATTCTAGTAGGTTGAAAAAAATCGAGCTCATTTGGTGACAAAGAGTTGGTGTTTAGAACCAAATCGTGTGAAATCATATCTATCGCTGCTGTCGGCTGTCTTCAAGTTTCTATCGCGGTAAACCTGTTTGAAGCCAATCAAGTGGCAGCAGTGGTAATAGCAGCATCTTCTGCACACAGATTAAAAAATAGGTCATAAAGTATCATAAAAAAAATAAAATCTGTTGAACCTGGAACATGCAAAAAACAATAAACACATGAATTGTCTTGGGAAACAAACAAGACTAGACAACATGAAACCAAGTTGCGTGATCTCCATCTACTGCTTGTGGGTTCAGCATCTTTTGTGGATTTGCAGAAGGTAACGGAATCCTTGCACGCAACTCGAAAGTTGAAGATACCTCTTTGCTGCGTGAAACTATGCCCCGATAAACTCTAGCATCTGGGGACAGGTCGCCAGCTTCACATGCTTCACATTTTGGTTACTATAATCTGAGTCCAAGAAACGCAAAGCGAATGCATCTGATTCCCAGCTCTGTGCACGTGTGTCGATACAGTGTGTAGTCTGACCTAAATCTTCAGAGTTCGAGATGAATTCAAGGCATCCACAAGAAATGGCAGAAACACGTCGCGACATGCATCAAGCAACTTAGTGGCAGTCTGAATTTCTGATTGTGCAAGAGTGATCAAAAGCCTAAGCAGTGCTGTTGTGCCAAATCCACTTCAACTCAGCAGGGAGGCTTGTAGAGAGATTTCATGGTTCTAGTTCTTCGGGTCAAATACATCCTGCATGCACTGCGCTCCAGCAATGACAAAAACGCCAAGAAGTCAAGAGATCTCGGCCTGGTCAAGATTGAAGGATCCTGCTGGGGACTGGAAGCTGGATTTGCCTCCGGCAACATTAAGCGAGCCTCATAGCCCGCTTGGCTTCCTGATGCAAACCGCCCAGATCGGTACCTGGAAAACAAACACGCAAGGAGTGGCAAGAGCGACAAGAACTTAAATTTCATTTGGAAAGGGTCTCTTCACTGCAATGCATGCGCTGTCTGCGCAACTACTGCTACTACTTCTACTACTGCTACTACTACTACTACTGCTACTACTGCTACTACTACTACTGCTACTACTGCTACTACTACTATTACTACTATTGCTACTACTACTACTGCTACTACTACTGCTGCTGCTACTACTACGACGACGACTACTACTACGACCACTACTACTACGACGACGACTACTACTACTGCTGCTACTACTACTACTACTACTACTACTAGTAGGACTACTACTACTACTAGTAGGAGTACTACTACTAGTAGGACTACTACTACTCAAACTACTACTACGGCTACCACTACGACTACTACTAACTATGACTACTACTATGACTCCTACTATGACTACTACAATGAGTACTACTATGACTACTACGATGACTACTACTATGACTATGCTACTACGACTACTTTGATATACTATTATGACTACTGCTATGACCACTACTATGACTACTGCTATGACTACTCCTATGACTACTACTATGACTACTACTGCTACTCCTCCTCCTCCTACTCCTACTCGTACTGCAACTACTACCAGTAGTACCGCGCAAGGCGGTTGCGGAAGTTTCAAGAATAGGACGCTATAGGAGAGGTGATTTGTTGTGATGCATGGATGGCAGAGCGAATCCACTGATGGACCGAAAGGTGGTTGGAGTTCTGTTTTTTGGAGTGGTTGCAGTGGTTGCAGCCACAACTGCTGGATGTAGTGTGGTGTAGTGCAGCTGTAGTTGTAGTTGTAGTGTAGTGGAGTTGCAGTTGTGCGTAATGTAATCAGTGTAGCGAGGTTGCAGTCGTGGTTGTGGTGTGGTGTAATGAGTGTAGTGTAATATGATGTAGTGTAGTGTGCTTTAGTGCTTTGAGCTGTAGCGTAGTCTAGTGTAGTGTGCTGTTGTGTTGCGTGCTGTAGTGTAGTTTGGTGTAGTGTAATCTGGTGTAGTGTAGAGTAAAGTAGTGTAGTTGTAGTTTGAGCTCTGGTTGTAGTTAGTGTAGTGTAGCATAGTGTAGTGTAGTGTAGCGTAGTGTAATTAGTGTAGTGCGGTTGTAGTTGTAGCTGTAGTTGGAGATGTAGTTATAGTGTAGTGTAATGTAGCGTAATTAACTATAATTAATTAGTGTAGCGTAGCTTTGTGTAATGTAGTTGTAGTTGTAGTTGCAGTTGTAGTTGTCTATCGATCGATCGATCGATCTATCTGTTGGCAACATCAAAAACTAAGCAATTCTCCGATTTTCCAGTCCATGTCTCTAAAGTATTGCGCCTGCCATGAAAAAGTGAAGCCAGGTCATACAAAGTGCTGCACCTGTCACGCAAAATCATCTTAGCAAACTTGAAGATCTCATGCCCCAAAATGCAACCCCTCTCAAGAAATCAGCGCCCTGACCTCCGAACATCTCTGGTGAACATGCTTCTTGTACCCTGCCTGCCAGGGAAACTGCATGTTTACGGATCCTCTTCAAATGTCCCACGCCTGCAAACGCTTTTGAGAATGCCACAAAACCCTCACGTTTTCTCGCTTTTGACAAGGTGCATAATCCCTTGTGCCTGCCACGCAAAACGACATCTGAACGTCCAAAAATGCCACGAACCCTTCAGTTTTTTTACACTTTTGACTTCGAAATGTGCTTCGCGCCAAAAGGGCGTGCACTTTTTCGAGAGCATGGTGTGTTTTGTGCATTTTGACTTGGAAAATGTGCTTCGCGCCACAACGGCGTGCACTTTTTCGACATCGCAACTTCCAAAAGTACTCCGAGAATGGCGTGTCTTGTGCATTTTAATTTCCAAATGTGCTTCGTGCCACAACGGCGTGCAACTTTTCATCTCTCATCTGGCCAGATGGCTCCGCACCCGCCGCTTTAGCGAGCCTACTTTTCGACCCTCCGGAGCCACAAATCATTGGAAAAACGCAGTGTTTCGCGACTTTGCTACCTTTTCGCGCACCTGCATCTTCTTTCCCCTTGCTCTTTCTCTTCTCTGATCTTCTCTCTTCTGCTCTTCTCTTCTCTGACTCTGCCCACCTCTGCTTTTCCATCTGTCCATATTGTCGGAAGTTTGACTTCTAAACTTCTGATACACGCACACACGTACGCTGTATATACCATAATTCCTGGTATATGAGACACACACACATGCATGTAATTTTATCTGTGCGTATGACTCTTCAGTTAATATTGTACATGTATGAATAATATAGAGTTTTTGTACAACATGTAATGTATGGATGTATGTAAACGGTGTTCATTGCACTGGTACTTTTTTCAAATGACATGCAGCCAAAGATTCGCAGTAAATGCGCGCGAAGACCTCGGTTGGCTGAGTCTTGAATTGTGATTCCCAACCAAGACTTGCCCAAAGCAAACAAGACTATGTTGCTCGAAAGAATTCAGGAAACTGACATAATGAGATTTGGCCAAGAAACGAAGGATCTTCTCAGTGAGACAGGCAATGCGGACCGCAGGACTATTGGTATCAAATGGACGTCTCTGAAATTTGCCTCAGGACAGATTCTTCTGACCGAATCTTAAAAGATGAGTCGACGCAAGTGAAGAAACTAACACACTGAACTCTCTCTTTTGAATTGCGGTCAAATTGTTTACAAAGCGGAATGCTATACGGAATACTTCCAACAATGCGCGCGTAATGTGCCCTTCCCGCTGCTAAAGAATGCTAAGGAAACCTCCAGAATTCATCCGATCAGTATGATGTTCATGAGAAATAGTTGCGTTGAGGGATCCACACATCTCCCGCAATACAGAGCAACATGTAACAAACCATGCTGTGTGTGTGTGCGCGTGTGGGAAGCAATGGTTTTTACCACGCGCCCAAACTTATCGAGCGCCAGCAACGTTTGCAATCTCCTGGATGCGTGGAATCAAGTGCGTATGCAGGGACATCCAAGATCCCAGCATTCGGAAAAGCATGCTACGTAACAAGAAAGTCCTTGCCTTAGAACATATTGGAACTGTCCTGTGATTGGCAAAAGCAGTGCAACAAATGGGCACCAAAGCCGCAGTTGCTGGTGGGAAGAATGAAAGGGAACAGGGGATACTATGGGGACAACGGCCCTAATTTTTTGGGAGTGTGGAAACTGTGTGGGCTGGGCAGCGCAAGCACAACACGCAGCTGTGAACATCCGGCGACATAACGCAATGCTGACTCCAAAGGAGCTATTGTATCTTCTACATCTGTGCCCAATTACATCACATACTTGGCTTTGACAGATTCTTGGCAGGTCATGCTTGATCTCTTGAACAAATGACAGCAACTTTGCAGGTACATAGAGGTGCATAGAGGGACCCGGGACTGTGTTTGGAAAAAAGTAGGCCTATGAGGCCTTCAAGTTCAGGCAAGATTCGGATCAGCTGCTGCTTTCCTGGGCGAGCGCATGCAAAGGCTAGCGCGTGCATCACGTGCATCATGTGCTTGACCAACACTACCAACACTTCAGATTCAGAACAGTTTCCAGCCCCTGAAGGAGTTCAGCCATTACAGGGACCCGGAAATGTCACGCCTATGTCACGCTTAAGTCACTCCTTTTGCTTTTCCCCGCTTGTGAAGGCAACATCAAGAAGTCATGCTTAAGTCATGCCTTTTGGTCTTCCCCCATTCTGAATGCAAGCGTTAAAACAACCCTTTCCAAATCGGAACTGTTCATTTCTGCTGTTTCCTTTCCTCCCTGCCATGGCGATTCGAGGATTCTTCTTTGCCCACTTTCTTCCCAAAACAGGTTTACCTGTATGGGGTGCTTACTCCTTTGAAAGGGTTGCATTCCGGGCCCGTATGATTTTGTTTCTGTCTCCGGGTTTGCGTTCCTGGTATGCTCTCCGACTACGCTCTGGGTCGCTGGGTGCTCTGGGCCGCCTGGTCGTACATTATTACACTTGTCTCCCGCTTGTATCCCACTCACCCGCATGATTCTACATTTGTCGCATGATGTGCCTGATGGCTGTGTAGATATAGGTATAGACGTGGCCAGGGAATCTATGCTTGGAAAAACTTGCTCTGTGTAAAAGCTTCTCCGCAAAAGCTTGCTTTGTGTAAAGCTTCTCTGTGTAAAAGCTTGCTGTGTGTAAAAGCTTCTCTGTGTAAAAGCTTGCTGAGTGTAAAAGCTTCTCTCTGTAAAAGATTCTGTGTGTAAAAACTTGCTGTGTCTAAAAGCTTCTCTGTGTAAACGCTTCTCTGTGTAAAGGCTTCTTCTGTGTGTAAAAGCTTCTCGGTGAAAAAGCTTGCTGAGTGTAAAGGCTTCTCTGTGTAAAAGCTTGCTGTGTGTAAAAGCTTGCTCTGTGTAAAAGCCTCTCTGTGTATAAGCTTGCTGCGTGTAAAAGTTTTTCTGTAAAAGCTTCTCTGTGTAAAAGCTTTTGTGTATGTGTAAATGCTTCTCTGTGCAAAAGCTTCTGTGTGTAAAAGTTTTCCTGTGTAAAGCATTTTTGCGAAAAGAGGTGAGAAGAGCTGGCAAGAGTTCTTGAAGTGTTGACACGAGGTGAGCAGTTAAAATGAGCTGAAAATGAGGTGAGATGAATTGAGCGGAGGTGAGAAGAGGTGGGAAGAGTAGAGGTGGCAAGAGGTGAGCAGAGTTGCGACGAGTTGAGAAGAGTCGACAAGAGGTGGGCAAAGGTGAGAGTCATTGAGAAGAGTTGAGAAGAGTGGGGAAGAGGTGACGAGAGTTGAGCTGAGGTGGGAAGCGATTGAAAAGCTTTGAGAGCTGTTGAAAAGAGTTGTGAGAATTGAGAAGAGCTGAGATGGTCTGAGAAGAGCTGCGAAGAGCTTAAAAGTGGTGGTCACAGTTGGAAAGGGGTGAGGCAAGATGAGGACGAATTCACAGAACAGAGTTGAGAAGATGTAAGGCTTAACTCCAGCTCCTATAGGCAAACCTTGTCTTTGGATCCTATAGTGTAAAAATCCTTCCTTCTGGAAACTTCCGCCACCCGCCTCGCGCGGGGTCTGCTTGTATTCGTTTAGATTCATTCGTATCAACTCCAAAATGCAAATGGGCTTCTGGACAATGAACCAAGGGCGCTTATCTTTGTCAAGTCTCTCCACTGCGAAATATCACGAGAATTGCCGCATCGCAGTGTCAAACACTTTCTCATCTCCGGAGACAAGTGCCGGACCTTTGACATGTGTAGCATTAAGAAAAACACGCAGAGTTTGCCACAAAGGTCGCGATAAATCTAATGGGTTTCTAAAAATCAGGATTGAGAACGTCATAGTTGTCGTTGTTCAACCTCATCAACTATCCCTGATGGTTTGATCATGGCAGCGTGATGGCATAAAAGAGTCATGGATAACCCCAATCTCAAAATCTGATTGTGATGGGGGAAAAGCGCGCAGGAAATCTTCTGCCATGAAAATTCCCGGAAGAAGACAGCGTTATTCTCCGGATTTCTTGGAAAACTTGTTGCGGCTTGCAGATGCTTTCAGCCCTTTGCCTGCTGCCTTGCTTTCTGGCACTGCAGTCAATCTCCATGTGTGTTTGTTAGACAAAGGCCAAGAGACATCATCAGGGGTCAAATTCCATAGAAGCCTTCCGAAAGGCATCAAATGCTTAGCTCAAATTGTGTACAGGCACAGGACCCTTTTTGTGGTTCTGATTGCTTTGAGTGTCAACACACTGCACAGAGGCTGAAGTCATGGCAGCAGCGTGCAAGCGCGGGTTCAGTTTCAGTGACCAAGTCCATGAGTAAACAGCGCCAAATTGAGCGTATCAACAGTTACGAGTATATGTATGCATTCACAAGTAATTACGTACGTACATTACATTACATTGCATTACAAGCCCCTTGTGGTGCCGGGGGGGATTAGGTCCTTGAAAAATAAAACTAAATCAAAGACCCCAACCTGGGGGAACCACAAGCACACGCACACACACACACACACCCTCAAGCAGCACCTTGCAGTGGCACCCTGCAGCCAGCATGCCCGCTCCAAAGCGCAGCTCGAAAGCGCACGCCGCACGCTCAACTGCAGTGGCACCAGCATGCCCGCTCCAAAGCGCACACCACTGTGACAGCAGCACCCGCAAGCAGCACCTGCAGCGGCACCCTGCAGCGGCCCTGCAGCATAGGCCAGCTCCAGTCTAACCGCACCCATGAAGCAGCACCCTGCAACGGCACGCTGCAGCTGCATCAGCATGCCCGTTTCAAGGCGCACACACCGCTCTGACAGCAGCACCCTGCAGCGGCATCCTGCAGCGGCGCCAGCAAGCCCGCTCCAAAGCACACACACACACACACCTCTCTGACAGCAGCAAGCAGCACCCTGCAGCGGCACCAACATGCCCGCTCCAAAACGCCGACATGCAACTCCTCCTATATAATTGAAGTAAGAACCCTAATATTAGAAGAAGCTCTCAGCCATACCCTGGAGATGGTTCAAATATTTATTTTGTATTTTTTTTGCCGTTTCTTTTGCCATTTTTTTTGGTCATGTCAGTTTTGCCTGTCATTTTTTCATTTTTTGGTCATTTTTTGCCATGTCAGTTTTGCCTGTCATTCTTTTGTGTCATTTTTTTGACATTTCAGTTTTAACCTGCCATTTTTTTTGTCATGTCAGTTTTGCTCTGTCATTTTTTGCCTGTCATTTTGTCGTCATTTTTTGTCATTTATCGAACATTTTTTTGATATTTTCTATATTTTGTAGAAAATTACACCAAAAAATAACAAAATATACAAAATTTCCACCAAATGACAAAACATGACAAACATATGGCAAGTTTGCAGGTTGCAAAAATTATGTCATTTTTCTCGAGGCATTGTCACTTTTTTCTGTCATTTCGGTGCAAGTTTCTCAAACATGTGCAAGCATAGCAAAAATTATTCGGAAAATAGCGGAAAAATGACCAAAAAATGCAAAAAAACTTGCAATTTTGCAGGTTGCCAAAATGGCATTTTCGAGGCATTGTCATTTTTCTGTCATTTCGGTGCAATTTGCTCAAACATATGCAAAACATCAGAAATTATTCGAAAAATTGCGGAAAAATGACAAAAATGACAATACTTGGAGAAAAATCACTTGATTGCAACCTGCAAAATTGTCATTTTTTTGTCTTTTCTTTTGGGGTCATGTGGTGGAATTCTTGTCATTTTTGTGTCATTTTGGCGCGGTTTTTCAAAAATATTGAAAAGTATCAAATTATTTGAAAAATGACATAAAAATGACAAAAATATGGCAGTGCTTCGGGAAAAATGCAATTTTTGCAACCTGCAAAATTGTCCTTTTTTTTGGGTCATTTTTTGATGCAATTTCTGTCAGAAAAATTGGAAAAGGACAACGTTTCGAGAAAAATGCAATTTTTGCAACCTGCAAAAATTACAAAAAATACAAATAAAACGGCAGACCAAAACTCAAATTCAAAGACAAAAATGACAAAAATGACAATCAAAATGACAGACAAAATTGACATGACAAAAAATGACAAAAAAAATGAAAGACAAAACTGAAATTACAAAAAAATGACAACAAAAACGACAAATGACAAATTAAATATTTTGATTTTTTCGACCTTTGCCTGCCTAAGTTTCTTCTAACCCTAATAGCTTCGCTATCTGGGGAATAAAATCAACATGCCTCCAAGTTCTTACCAAGGATGGTCAAAAATAAAATTAACAGGCCCCCAAGGTCCTACTACCTACTTGTTGTATGTGTATATATGTATATATATATATTATATATACACATGTGTGTGTGACTATAGTTTTATGGAAATACATTCAAAGATGTACATAGATGTATGATATAAGTATAAATGCCTTTTTTGGTAAATATTCGACTATGTTTTTGCAGGTGCCCAACCCTTGGACTAAGGCCTGGTTCAAGTTAGCTGAAAGGGCTTGATTGCAGAACTACAATTTTGCCCGGCAAATCCATGATTGTACTTCATGCTGCGTGTTTAGCTGTCAACTAACCTTTACTTAACTTGAATTACGACATCCGATCGGGGTTTGAATTTCTTGACATTTGGTTGTCTAAGTCTATGGCCCCAACACGTAAATGTGAGTTTTCGGGAGTATTCTTGAAACCTAGATTTTTGACGTTGGTTGAGGACATAGCAAGCCAGACTCTTTTTTTTAAATAAAAATCTCTCTCTCTCTCTCTCACTCTCTCTCTCCATTTCTATTCAAACTTATACATAGCACATTATTTCCTAAAATTATTGCAACGGACACAGGCAAAAAATAAAATTAGCAGGTCCCAACCTATTTCCCATCCAAGTGCAGAACCTGTTGAGATCCTGATCAAAAGGCCTCCCCAGAAAATAGAACCTTCGGGTCCAACCCACCAAAAAACACATGAAAAAAACATCAGAAATATCGGGAGCTCAAGCCCTATGATTTTATCTTGGAGCACCCCACGGGGGTCATTACATTACATCACATCAAATAACATCACATTAATACATACCATATCATTGCATTGCGTTGCGTTGCATTGCATATATTTTAACGTGTATTGCGTGATGCCCCTGTGCTTGCATAAACCCACATCTATCTATTTACCAATCAATCTGTCCATCCATCCATCCATCCATCCATCCATCCATGCATCCATGCATGCATGCATCCATCCATCCATACACGTCACACGTACAGTTCATGTAAAATGTACATGCGTATGTGGCATCAGATGTTGGCCTGATATTACGTGTGTTCCGTCGTATTCCCCTTTGACGACAACACGGCTCCCTGTGACATGGGTCGCAAGTATCTCTGCAGTTTCATGCAAGATAGTTGCCATCTGTACGGATTCACCTTTGGCAAGGAATGGCATGGAAAATCAGAAATAAAGCGGCAGAATCCAGCACTTTTGGTTAACACTGGTTTACGATTTCTACTCCCAAAGCTTTGCACTTTGGATTACTAGAGAAAATGCGTCTCAATGCAGCTTGCATATCTTGCTTGCCTCTGCCTTGGTGTATCTCTCATTTTCCTGAAGGTGTATGTCTGTTTATATATATAGATTATAGATTATACATGTACACATGCATACGAGCACATATAGGAGCAAAACGTCCACAGTCAGTATTACTTCGAATCCGTGCTCATGTGAGCAACCATGTGATACAGTACATTGCGGTGTTTGAGGCGACCAACAGGATAAACATGCATCTCAAAGGGACTCATACAGAGAGTACCGGGAGTTGTTCAGACAGAGCTCACACAGAGTACCAAGCGGATCCAAGCGGCTCATCTTTGGGCACTCGGGCGCGCATCTGGAGGAACTCCTTTTCAGCTGCGGCCTTGCGTTTGTCTATGGAAAGCGATGCCAGGTGAATGTGATCACTTGAGAATAACTTCAACTTGCAAATCAGAAATCAAGATCAGCTAAATCTTTATAAACATCGACAAACACTGACAATTTGCAAAAACAAAGATCAAACCATTCAATGTGGACCTGCCACTCTGTCTTCGGAGGGCTCATCTTCACAGCTTTCACTCCCGTGTTTCCTGAAGCATGACACAAGCGGATTTTCAAGGGTCTCATTCTCCTCGTGACTGGGCATAGCTGAAGCTTCACATAACTTTATCATACTTTATATAATTTAGTAGACTGTAGGAGAGTCCAATAATTACTAATGTTTGATCGGTTTCAATCACATCTGATCATATTTAATCTTGCGCTGAGGAGCGATTGATGCGAATCCTCGCTATGCAGCGAACATCAGCGTAGACAGGACCCCAGCGAACCTCACGAGAGTGTAGCGGAAAGGTGGATTTTAAGTTTGTGAGAACCAGCATCTAGTATTATTCTATTACAAGATTTACAAGATATATGTATTGCCAAAGCACAACCACGGCGAGATGGCTTCGGACGCGCAACTTTTCACCTGCAAACGTAGCAAGTTATGGCTTAGGTCTGATTTGAGCCAGGCCACGCAGGACACACATCTGGATGTCACATGCCTGAGGATTCCAATCAATGCTCACAAGGGGATTTCAGAGCTGGTATCATTTCTTTGTTGATTGGAATCTGGCAAAAAGCATGTGATGAGGACACCTGCTGTGTTGCCAATTAAAGCTTGCGAATTCTTCAAATCAGCTACCTTGACTTTGTCCTCAAGGAGCTTCCATTCAGCTCGGCCTTCATGATCCATGAGCCTACCATATGTCGATCTCCGCGGAAACTGTACAACATCGAAACGTGGCTTTGGGGACCTAAATGACCGTGCATTCTTGGCAACATGAACTCCAAAATCAGCAAATGAATGCCATCCAGGTTGATCGCTCAAAGTGAGCAGGTGTCCAAACATTGGATCAGAACTGTCTAGTTCTAGTTTCTGACCTGCCTGTACTGTCGGCTCAGGAGCACATGCATTCTTTACAGATTTCAAAGGTTTTGCTCCTTGCCGGGCTGTACTTGAAACACCATCTACCGGTCTCTAAGACACTTCTCAGATATTATAGATATTCACCATCCATCTCCTTCGTGCCGCAGTCGATGAGCATGTTCTGGGTTGCCGTCCATTTGATTTCCACATTGGGTCGGCGCAGCTGAGATCTGATTCAGGAAATCGTAAACGCAAGGCTCTTTTGGCTTCCATAGCTTGGCGTGTCACTCGTGCTTTTATCAAACACGTCCTTTGCGTCCACCACCAGAATCATTGGGATCGCATTGTTGCTGGCCTCCACATTGCGCCTATCCACGCTGTAGCCACGCGTCTCAGCAAACATCCCTCTACAAAATTCCCCACAGTCCAAGGCTTCCTCCGCAGACATGAGCTCTGCCGCAAACGTCGAGCGACACACTCTCGCCAGCCTATGCCTCCGCGAGTCAATCAAGCAAAAGTTGCCCTCCTTGCCCGCCAGCATGTTCTCATCCGCAATCAGAATGGCATAAGCCGCCTGGCTATGCACTCGAGAAAAAACATCTTCCCCAATGCTGCCATCTGGAGAAACGTTGCCCAATGCCGCATCGGAAACAGTGACCAGGCCACACTTGTCCAGGTCCATAGGCTTGAAGTTCAGGGAAAACTTAGAACTTGCTTTTACCTTCTTAACCAGACTGTTTGCTTTCAACATCGTAGCAGCAACAGGCTTTTCAGACTGGAGTGTTGACAACGGAAACCCTTGATCAAACCTCAGTTGGGAAACTAACCATTGCAAGCTCCCAAGCAGTCCTTGGAGCTGACGGTGTTCGGTTGATCAAGCTGCTTCTTGCGATCGCCAGTCATAGGGATCTGCTTCAGGTTCTCATGATACTCCACCATGCTCACCTTGATGGAAAAGTCGGCAAGCTGCTTGATCTTTTTGCCACAATAGGTGAAGGAGCCAGATTCCAGCGATCCAAAACCTAGCTCTCGCCCAAGCTCCAGCAACGATTCATGGGATCTTGCATTTCCACCCATCAACAAATCGTCAACATGGGAAATCAGCATACCAGCCATCCAAAGTTGTACCATCAGCACTCCACAGAAACCATAGCGCAGCATCCAGCTCAGATCGAACCCATCCAAGCTTGGTCACTGACTTGTTCAAACGTAGATACCACCGTCGAGGTGAGTCTGCCAAACCAAATATGCCTTTCTTGGCTTTTGCAAGTCCACCTTCGCCAAGAGGAAGAAGAGGTTCATCAGGAGAGGATACTCGGATCTGGCTCACATAAAGCTCTCTTTCGTCAGGACCAAAATTTTCACCCTTCAAGAAAGCACTCTTTACATCTGCACTGAAAAGCAACCAACGCTTGCTGGCCGTGTACATGAGGAGAAAGTGGTGGGAGGTCCTGCTTCCAGTTGGAGCATCTCTTCGAACCAGATAGGCTGTGATGTCCTGGAAGCCTGGAACGACCAATCGCGCGTTCGCCTTCAGCGGAAGGGGCTTTGAAGGAGTGCGCAAGCCATCATGTTTGTCGGTGTACACAAACCTTGGAGTCAACAAGCATGACTGCTTGCCAGTGGACTTCAAACGCGCTCGAACTTCATCAGCTTGAGCTTTGGATAGAACTTCCACTGCTCCATTGTCCACCCAAACTTGCCATCCGGCTTTGGCTGCAGCATGAAAAGCAGGACGGTCAGCTTTTGGAATGTCCTTCCACTTGTACTCCTTTCTCGCAGTTTGCACCGCATCAACTTCATGACTGCCTCGGGGCCACAAAAGTCCATGGTGACGCCGGGCATTCCATTCAGATCTTGAAGGCAATGGCCAAATTCCATGCCAAGTGCCATTGTCATGAACCGCATGATCAGATTGTTTTTCACGTTCGGCTTGTTCTTGGAGAAGCTTCAGCGGATGTTCACCTTGGTTTAACACTGATGTCAGCAAGGCATCAGGCAGGACCAGGTCGGGGTCTTGCTTCAAACGCAGGCTGATTGTCTTGTAGTTCTTCAACTTGAACATCAGGAGGCCTCTTTCGTGAAGCTTCGGACATCTCTGGAATTCCAACATCCTCTTGATCAACTTCAGCAAGTCTTCCAACAGCATCAGCCACTCTTGAAGACATTGAAGCACCACGCATCAAAAACGCTTCTGAGCACAAAGGAGGTCTATCGAACTGCTTCTTGTGCAAGGGGTCAGAGGTGTGGATATGCCTAGACAAACGCAAAGCTTCGGCTTCCACATCATCGTAACCATCACGGCCAGCAAGTGCAGTTTCAAGGAGCTGGGACCTGATGGCATCAAGTCCAAGCCTGTCCCTCAAAAACCAACCAAGCTCACCTGAAGGCAAGTTGATGCCTTCACGCTTCATCTCGGCCGTCAAGGGTCGGTAACCTTGTGCAGAAGGAAGAAATGCGCTCTCCAGGGTTTCTGCGAATCTCCTGATAAAACTGCTTTCTGAGTTCTCCCTTCCTGTCAAGTTCTGTTCTGCCCATGCTTTCTTCTAACGCCTTGAGCAGCGTCTTGATCCCTGCAAACGGATCGGCTTCTTTGAGGACTCGTTTCTCACCTGTTTGAGGGTCGTTGGAAACAACTTCAGCGGCTCCTGCAAGTTCGTCAGGATCAAATTCGTCACATCTGGCTCTAACCGCTCCAACCTGACGCAAAGTCCACCTTGCAGCCGCATTGAATTTTCGGCATGCTTCAGGATCTAAACTTGCAATCCACCAGCCCATCTCACGTTTGAAACTCCACTGCTCCTGAGGGTTTCCATTCCAAGTCGGCACCTTGTACCAGCTAGATGTTCCCTTCTCATCTTCAGCCATGGCCAAAATGGCGTTAAAAAAACGCAAAAGGCTCCCAAACAGGGAAAAAACTCAAAGGCTTGTAGGGCTCGTTCAACACCTTCGCAGAAGGGGCTGGCCTAGTTGCCAGCGAACCAAGTCCAAAAGGCAGTGCTCGTCAGCCCCTTTGCAAAAAGG